ACAATCAAAGAGGAAATACCGAAGAAAATAACCATAACCGGTTTAAATCCATCAATTGCAGAGACGGAGGTTCATGAAGATCTCCTGTCGAAAGGGATTGAAGCCAGGCAAGTAGTGCAGATAAAGAGGAAAACCTCAGATGGTGGTCAACACAAATTACCTATATACATTGTTCTCCTCGATAAAGACCAGAATATGTCAGAGCTAAGGTCGATAACCAACATTGGTGGACACATCTTCTCTTGGGTAGCCCATAGACCGCAGAACAGAGCGCTGCAGTGCCACAAATGCTTAAACGTCGGTCACACATCGTACACCTGTGACCTAAATTGCAGATGTATAAAGTGACTCAATGTGCACGCGCCAGGAGCGTGCCAGAAACTACCACATGAGGCACCGATGTGTGTCAATTGCAAGAATGAACACCCGGCAAATTACTCCAAATGCAGCGCTCTTATAAACTATAAGGAAAAGAAGGAAAGCGACGCTCTCAGGAGAAGACAAGCGTATAGACCAGCACCAACACCCGTGCCACTGACGAGGAGCTTCTCGTCAGCTGTAAACTCTATCAACAGTGGTCCCAACGTCAGAACTAAATATCCTCAACTCCCTATCCTATCGTCACCATACAGATCAATGGTCCAGTCCTCACAAACAATGGTCCAGCCTGCACCATCATCATCACAGATCCAGCCTGCACTATCGCAATCACCAACCTGGCCTGCCTGCAGCCAGTCCGATCCAGATTTCAATACGCCAGAGGGACTGTTTGCTGCTATGGGCGAGATCAGGATGCTGTTTGCTGATCCCCAGGTAAAACAAATTTTCAGTGAGCTATACAAACTGACAAAAACACTAAACACAAACATGACTTATAACGACAAATACACAACAATTTTGAACTTTCTTACATCATCACCATAAACCAATCACAAGACTTACAAATAATGCATTTCAATTCAAATGGACTTAAAAACAACGTTGACAAACTGAGACAGACGATAACAAAATACGATCTGGACATAGTACTTATTAACGAGACGCACTTAAAACCTACGGACAGACTATATATCAACAATTACAAAGTTTACAGAAACGACAGACAGACGGATGCACGCGGATGGGGCGGCACTGCTATTTTAATCAAGTCTAATATCAGACATGAGCAAGTGCCAAACCTGACAGCGGGCCGTTCTGAAATAACAGCAATCAATGTATACAAGAGAGGTCAAAAAGTAACCATAATATTGATTTACATCCCGGCAAGCGGACTAGAACATACGGACTTACAAAGACTACTGGACTCGAACAGATTTGTACTTATGGCAGGAGACTTTAACGCACAACATACATCTTGGAACTGTAACTTTAACAATGCGAACGGAAACAGACTTTACGAATACCTGACCAAACACAACACCACAGACGCACAACTACATTATCCTGATACGCCGACCAGATACGCCACCGTACAGACACACCATCACAGCACGATCGATTTGGCATTGACAAAAAATCCACACGTAACATCCGAACCCATAACAAGAACACTTTTCAACTCCGACCATAATCCAGTTTTCATGACCATTTCAGACAGACTAGACGTCGACCAGACTCCCAAACGCAAATTTCTAGATTACTCCAGAGCCAACTGGCCATTTTTCAGAGACATCATCACAGACAACACACGACACACAAAGCCAATCGATACCAACACTGACATTGAGGAGGCTGTAACACACCTTACACTGACAATCACAGACGCCGTACAACAGACTATACCGACACTAGACTCAAGAACAACACCAGCCAACGACTTACCAGAACATATTTTATTGAAAATAAAACTTAAAAATCATACAAAGAAACTGTGGTAACGTACCGGTGACAGACTACTCAAGGAACATGTGAACAGACTGACGAAAATTATTTCCAATGAAATACGTGACCACCGAAACAACACTTGGAGCAAAAAACTCGAAAACTTAAATACTGACCCACACAAAATTTGGCAGACAGCAAAAAGACTGACACAGAAACCAACATCCATACCTCCACTTAAATTAACTGACAACAATTACGCAACGACACCAGCAGACAAGGCGGAAATATTGGCAAAAAACTTTGAGAACATACATAAACAATATGTCAAACGCAGACCTGAAACAAGACGTACACGAGACAATTCAAAACTTTACTGACCTCCACAGGGACAAAGACTTACGAATAGACCCTGCCACAGTTTCGGAAATAAAGACAATAGTTAAAAAATTACCGAACAGGAAAGCAGCAGGACCGGACGGACTACAAAACATAATTCTTAAACAACTGCCGAAGAACGCCTACATTTTTCTTACGCGCATTATAAATAGACTAATGACAAAAGGCTGCTTTCCCGCTTCTTGGAAAACCTCCACCATATTTCCAATAGTGAAGCCAAGGAAACAGCCAGACATACCACAGAACTACAGACCGATCAGCCTCCTCAACACAATGAGTAAGGTAGCCGAAAAGGTACTACTCAAAAGACTTAATAAACACATAAGACACAACAAAATTATACCTGACACACAATACGGATTCAAAGAACGACACTCCACACTACACCCACTGACAAAACTTATAGAAAATACAGTTCTCAATTTCAACAGACAAAACCATACCGGGTTGGTGTTACTCGACTTTGAGAAGGCGTTTGACACCATCTGGATGGACGGACTTATACATAAACTTATCCAACACAACTTTCCACCGTACATAACGAGAACTTTACACTCATACCTCTCAGACCGCAACTTTACCGTACAAGTAGACAACGGACTTTCGACGGTTAAACAAGTGACGGCGGGAGTACCGCAGGGCTCGATTCTGGGACCGTCACTGTTCAACGTCTGCATTCACGACATAACCACTGACGCCGACACAACGTTACTGATGTTTGCTGACGACACTGCCGTATACAAATCATCACGATCACCTACGCTACTGACTACAAAGGTACAGACACACATAGACAAGCTAACTGAATATACTGACAAATGGCAGATCAGAACCAATCCGCAGAAGACGGAGGCAATTTTATTTACAAAGAACCGAAATGCCACGACTAGACTGACTGACTTGGACAAAATTAAAGTATTAAACTGTGAAGTTGAGTGGTCCAAAGATATCAAATATCTTGGTGTGACCCTGGACCATAGACTCAGCTTCACAAAACATATTAATACGAAAATTGGACAGGCTTACGGGATGTTAAATCTACTGAGACCTCTCTTGAACGACAACAGCCCGCTAAGCGTGAAGAACAAGCGGACACTTTACTTGACACTTATAAGACCGTTACTGACATACGCCGCTCCGGCATGGAACGCGACGACTAAGACTAACTTACAGAAACTACAGACATTACAAAATAAGACACTAAGACTAGTACTTGACAAAATAAGGGACCCACTGACTAGACATTACTACTCTTCAAAATACATACACAAACAGACTGACGTACCGACAATACTCGACTATATAAAAAAGCTCACTGAGAATTTTTATCTAAAATGTGGGGATCATCCTAATATTAACATCGCGGGCCTCGGCCAATACACAAGAGACGATATTTGGTATGAAATTACGCCATGCCAAAATATATACTGATCGACCCATAGCAGTGGATGATACTTGGCACGATACAGATTTTCTCCTTTAGAGTGAATAAATCTTTTACTTTGTTTTTCTCTTTGTGTAATTGTGTTATTATAAATAGTGTCATGTGATTTTTATTTTGGAGGATAAATTTTCTTTCCTCTTTTTTTGTCACACTAATATGAACTTATTTTTTATATTCAGAAATAATTATTGTTTGCAAAATCATATCCAATGATGGATAATATACCTACGGGTAAAAAATCATGTTAGAAAATGCAATGTACATACTTACATTTAAAAAAGAAAAAAAAAGGTTTTCGACTGTCTAGTCATACTGATTGTGGCATGCTGCAATGCGACGGCTTAAAGCTTATGCTCTAATAGCGTGGGGTGACGTCAAGCCAACATGACGAGTCTACAAGCCAAGGGCTGAGTCTCAACAGATCGTAGCGTGGTAACTGCTCTACCGAATACAACACCCCGCCAGGTACCTAAGTCGTTTAAAACGATTCCGAGTCTGTTTTTTAAATGATTGTGATTGCTTGCCTTATGAAGGACCAATTGTAAATACTTTGATTTTAACTGTATATATTTATTTTATGTTAATAACAAGTTAAGTGTATTTACAATAATTTTAATACTATTTTTGATTACGTTCTGATTGATTGATTGATTGATTTGTATGATTTTTCGATTGATGATTTTTTGTTTTTATATCAAATATAACCGCATGCTTTGATTGGCGCGAAGATACTCGCGGCCTGGAAATATAGATTTCAAAGCATTGACGCTTAGCAAGTTGAGGTTTAAGATTTTGAATAAGGAAGTGATCAGGATCTTTTTTATTGGATTTTAAGCAACGTTCAACAATGTTTCGATCTGCGTTTGATTTTTTCCGAAATGTGAATAATTTGAGGTTTGAAATATAAACCATGAGTGAATATGATTCCACGATATAGTTCCTTTTTATCGTGTTATTCGTAATCTTGTTTTAGTTCGATCTATTTGCAAAAATGTTTATAACATTTCATAATGAATCTTTTATTATATGAATATATTTTGCGAGATTTATGCGTTGCACCATAAATTCTGTTGAAATTGCTATCAACCATTACTCCTTAAATCAGATATTAGTTCGAATATAATACTATATTCATTATATCTTGTGTTTAAGAGACATGTGAAGATATAACATAGAAAAACCTCAATTTTTTCATTTAATCTTTTTAACAAATATAAGTGGTAAAGATATAATATTTAAATACACATGTGTTTAGGTATGGTATCGATAATTGATAGATGAATGGATTTTGCTATGGGCCCCATGGACAGCGCTATGGGGTGACATTTGTAATAAGTTAAAGTTTTAGGTTTGAGTTTTGATTTGATCCCCAACGTGTAAAATTCCATTTCACCTAAGAATGATGTCAATGTGTTTAGTTTAAAAGATCTGTTAATGCGTACTTGTTTTGATTTTATCAATTTATTAAGTGATTTATTCATTTTGTTAATCATTAATAAACTCTGTGATGTTCTGTTCTTTGTCATTTTAGTATTTGCACAAAGTTGAGATTCATAACATGTACCAGTTTAATGAGTACATGCTAGACTTGCAATTCAGATTCATATTTAAATCGCAAAAATTGTAAAATTGTCAATCGTGCGACGCAGTCTTTAGTTAGAAGCTAAGGTGGACCTTGGCGCGTTGCAATGCTTTAGTACACTACAATGATTTTATTAAATTGTATGCAACCAGTAGTTTGCATACATTTCTGTTTTGAATAAAATAAAATATATTCGCAAAAGCGATTTTATATTTATATAAATAGAAATTTTATCCATATAAGAGTGATAGTAAGATCGCTCCAATATAATTTTTTATCAAACGCGATACTTAATGCCCGTTTCATTTTTCGCGCAAGAATTTTTAATAATTGTGCCTCACTTAGTTTGAGGTATAAGAGTGCTATGTATTTTGATAGTGCTATTCTAGATTTTTCCGCTATTAATTTTATTTTTTAGCTAGAATTTGAAGTGAAAAACACATTCATTCGCGCGCTATATGTATAGATATGTAATTTCGTGCTTAGACGATTTGGAGTTAGAAAGAAAAGTTTGGAATGGTTAGAATTCAATTCATAAAGATTGAGTTTAGCTTGCGTTAAAATGTTAGTGAGATTGTTGTTAATAAAAAATTTCATTATTGTATCAGCTGTATCACTATGAACGTTAAAATAATTTCTGGGGATTTCGAATATTTTAAGATGTTCAGTTATGCTTTTTTTTAGATGATTGTTCTGAACATCGTATTGATAAGAACGTATGTTGTTGATTTATGTTTATTTTGTTATTAAAATTTTTTCCCTGAATTGTTTGGTGCATCTTTCTGTCGTTTATCTGAACTAAAACTTGTTCGCTCACTCTCTTTATATCGACCGTTAGTATTGAAGTATGAATTTTAAAATTTTGTATAATGAAACAGATTTCGTTTTGGATATTCGGTCTGACAAGTTGTAGCTCAGTTAACAGCAGACTAGTATAGGATTTACAAGGTGCTTCCAAAATTACGCGAAAATTAGTTGTTAAATTGATTGACTTTAACACGTCTTGATGAGGTGAATATAAACTTATTTTAGGTATGCTTGCGTTTATGAAGTTATCATATTCGGTGAATTGGTTTCTGTTTGCAAGTGAAATATGACGTTTTAATGTTACTTGTCTATTATATTCTATGTCTTTGATATTTTTTGCAAATTGAATTATATTACCAAAACTTCCGTCAATAGTCTTAGTTGTATTAGTAATAGAATGCTCTTCGCGTTGTTTTTCCGTTTCAGTAAAGTATTGTTTATCGTCGTATGGTTCGCGTATTTCTGAATATGTATCTACTTGAGCTTCAAAGTTAGATTCATGATTTGAAACCGAAATTGATTTAGAAATGTTTAATTGAGGTAAATAAAATTGAGGCTGTTTTATGTTACCTGCATTATTTGTTGTTTTGGTATAATTTAAATTGAATTACAAACTAGTATCTGATTTATTCAATGTTGCTAGTCTAAGCTTTGATAATTTTGTCAAGCATTTGTGGTATTTATCAAAAAACTCTTCTAATTCGTTATCAAATAAATTATCAATTTCTTCTTCATAATCAAGTAAAGTTGCTATTATGATAACCGTATCTTCAAACAAGTCAAAAATAGGTCTAATATTTTCTATAAAACGGCTTATTTCAGAAATATTCAATTCACACGCAGGCATGTGTGACCATTGATTGCAAATCTTTTCGCAATATGCTAATTGCGATTTAATTTCTAGTTGCTTTGTTTTGGGTGATTTTAAAGTTTTTGACGATTCCATCTTGTCACAGATCGTACTAAACTTTATTAATTAAATAAGAAAAGATTGATAAGAAGGAAATGTAGTTGAATAACCTTGATTCTTGCTTTGCTTGTGCTTGTAGCTGTAGCTCCAAATTTGAACTTCCTATCTTGATTTTGATCTTCCTCTTTATTTAATCTTGATTTACTTGGTTTATGCTTGTTTTGCTTGATTTCTCCTTCGATTGCTAGACGTCACATCCGTCTCGTCTGGACCAATGTTTTTTAAATGATTGTGATTGCTTACCTTATGAAAGACCAATTGTAAATACTTTGATTATACACCACAATATTTTGTGTAATTAATTATTTCACCAAAGTCATATTATTTAACCAAAGTATTATTTTATGTTACTTAATTATCATAGTTTTTTATAAAGTCTACGTGTATGTATGTGTATCTATTTATGTACTTATATGCGAATGTGCATATATGCGTATGTATGTATATATATGCGTATTATATGAGTATATATGTAAGTAGATGTGTATGTATGTGTATATGTATGTATATATATATGTGTATATATATAATTGTGTGTATATGTATATAGATATAAATATACAAGTTATGAATTAGCAAACAATATTATAAAACTGTATAAAGCCGATTGGCGTATAAATAAATAAATAAATAAATAAATAAATAACTGTATATATTTATTTTATATTAATAACAAGTTATAAGTGTATTTACAATAATTTTAATACTGTTTTTGATTACGTTCTGATTTATTGATTGATTTGTATGATTTTTCGATTGATGATTTTTTGTTTTTATATCAAACTAGCACACCCGACGAACTTCGTTTCGCCACCAGATGGTTTCGTGAGAAAGATGAAGAATTTTTTTGTTTGTTTTATATTTGAAAAGGAAAAATTTGAGCAGGAAAGAAAACCCGACCATATATATATATATATATATATATATATATATATATATATATATAGAAGATAATCTATTTGCAATTATTCAAAACAATTATTGATTATTTTTATTACTCGAATTTTTAATTGCGATGCGTGAAGTTCCAGCAATATGCATTAGGGCACGATGCCATGCACCACTAATTTTCTTAGCTATAAACCTTGCGGAGCCCGAGACCTTTCCAACGAATGCAAAATTGTCGAAATCGGTTCGTGCGTTCTGGAGTTATTTCGTCAGGAAGAAAAATCCGACTTATTTTTATATATATAATAATATAGAAGATAATCTATTTGCAATTATTCAAAACAATTATTGATTATTTTTATTACTCGAATTTTTAATTGCGGTGCGTGAAGTTCCAGGAAAATGCATTAGGGCACGATGCCATGCACCACTAATTTTTTTAGCTATAAACCTTGCGGAGCCCGAGACGTTTCCAACAAATGCAAAATTGTCGAAATCGGTTCGTGCGTTCTGGAGTTATTTCGTCAGGAAGGAAAACCCGACTTATTTTTATATATATACTAGCAAACCCGACGAACTCCGTTTCGCCACCAGATGGTTTCGTGAGAAAGATGAAGAAATTTTTTGTTTGGTTTATATTTGAAAAGGAAAAATTTGATTTTATTACACAACAGTAATGAATTTATTTTGATTACAAAAATGAGTTGAAGTTCTCTAAGTAAAAGAAAGTGAATCTGCAAATTATATGTTTTATTGAAGAGCCTTTTGGTAAACAACATTTTTTGTTTTTTGGCCTAACACAAACAAAGCGGATGATTTCCCAACTCGTGAACAGGCAACGTACAACTGGCCATGCGAAAAACAATGATTTTCTAAATTTATACCGCAAACACTAAGTGATTGACCTTGCGACTTGTTAATTGACATTGCAAACGCAAGGCGAACTGGAAATTGTAATCGTTTGAAGTCAAACGGAAGACCAGTCGGAATCATTGGTATTCGAGGAATAAGTCTTCTTACTGAAAGTCGAGTACCGTTGTAAAGTTGCGGTGGATTCAAATTACGCAATGTCATTATAACAGTGCCAACTTTGAGTTGCAAGTTATGTGGTGGAAATCCTGGTAACTCCAGAGAGTTCAAAAACTCCGTTGGATAATTTACTACATCATCGGGATTTGTTATGGAATCAATGGATTTGTATGTCACCAAATCGCCAGCAATTTTTGACTGAATGGCGAAATTCAGTGCGTGCACATCATTATTTTTTGCGGCAATAATTGCTCGTTGACTTAACCAAGCATAATTCTGATAATTTTCGCTAATGTTTGGGAAAACATTTTCAATAAGTTCTAATTGAGAGTCTACAAATCGGCAAAAGTCATTGGTAAGAGTAATTAATCCAGATGTCGCATCAACTGGGACTTTCCCATTTCCAACAGCTAACAATTGTTTGGAAAATTGTGCAGCACTTTGATCATTTTGAAGTTGAACTCTTATATTAGTGGTTAGCGATAATGTTTTTACGTTATTCCATAACGGTGATGCTTTCAGGCAAGCATTCAATTCATCTGTAGGCGTTCCACGGGGAATTACTGGCAACGTCTGCCTGAAATCGCCTGCCAACAATATCATCAAGCCGCCAAAGATGTTGTTATTTCGCCGAAGATCTTTCAGTGTAAAGTTAAGTGCTTCAAGTGATTTCTTGTGCGCCATTGTGCACTCATCCCAAACAATGAGCTTGCATTGCGTCAACAATTTTCCCATTGCACTGGATCGGGAAATATTGCATGTTGGAGTATCAATTGTGTTTAAATTGAGTGGCAACTTAAGTGCAGAATGTGCAGTACGACCTCCATCTAGAAGAGTCGCTGCAATTCCAGATGATGCTAACGCTAAAGCTATGTCACATCTTGATCGAATAGTGGCCAAAATCAATGAAATGACAAATGTTTTCCCTGTTCCTCCAGGTGCGTCCAGGAAGAATAGACCACCAGTATTATTGGCCACCGCTTGCATTAATGTTTCGTATACTTGTTTTTGCTGTTCATTCAGCAACGGCACATTAATTCGAACGAATTCTTGCAATGTATCAACATTGTATTGCAGCTCTCGATTTCATTCTTGGTTGAATGCATCGTGCATCGATCGATTTGGCGCAATCATTCCTACTTCAATTAGTAGCTTGTTTGCAATAGTCAAGCATTGATCCTCAATCAGAATCAATCCTTCATTGTAGATTTCATCGGTTATTTGGATATCAGGATTGTTAGTTTGAATGCGCAAGCGATGCAAGATATCTTCACATATGTCGTCTTTGTATTTGTTCCATAATTGTATTGGTTGTGAAGGAAAGCATGTGGTGATGATAATTGCGAACAGCGTTCGTATTTGGTACGCATTTGATGAAACAACTGAATCCGCAAGTGTTAGATCCCAATGAGAATCGTTCTCCAGCAAACCCAATAGTTGACATGCTTCTCGATATGTTTGACATCGGTGGCCATTCACAGTTTTCAAATGCACAAATGATTTTGGTCCACGTACATTTACCAACAGAAGTCTCAAATAAAAACATTCATCACTTCTAGGATGAACAGTATATATGCGACCAAGTGCATCCGTGGAAAACACATGTGGCCAATCTGGAATTGGGGTTCCTTGTTTGCGGCGTTGGAAATTCTTTGTTGATTGATTCCAAGTGTAATACTTAGGCATATCAACGTACATCAGCGTCGCTGCGAATGGATCTGCTTCACACATAGCAAAGAAGCTAGTCAATGTTGTCGATGGTGGTCTCTCAGCTCGCTGTGCCGCATTAGCCTCAGTGAAGTAAACTCTTTGGCCGTTTTCCAAATGCACTGCTAAATGCATAACTGTGGGATATCTTTCATGAATTTGAAATGACAATAATCGCCACAGTGCTTCATTACTACTGACGTATCTGCCAATTTGGAAGCTGCTAATTTCGTCATTCGCATTTTCCGACGCAATACCAAACACAGTCATGTCGGTGCCTTTTGTGACGTACTTGCACAAATATTTGATTGATTTGGCCGAATGACAACTTTCAACATTTGCATGTGTTCTGAAAATTCGAGATAGCAGCGGGCAATATGCTACAATAAATTCATTTCCGATCTCAATCTCTTGATTTTGAACTTTAACTTTGATAGTTGAATGTATCAGCAACTAACGGTCGCGGATATCGTTTTGTGCACTTTCCATTAGCCATGCAAGGCGATAATGGATTTAATGCACCGCACGGTCCATGCACCATCTGTGTCGTCACAATGTCGTGTAGATGGGGATCAGTGACTGGATCAGGAATTTCAGCTGATATGATGTCATCCACTTCATTTGAATGTAATTTATTCAGCAACCAAATTAGGATATGAACATGCGGTAGTCCACGCTTCTGACATTCCACTGAGTACATATAACAACGTGTGTCTCCAAAAACTCGATACTTAGTAAGCACATCCATCATGACCTTGAGTTTTTGCTGAAATACTCTGGCTATTATGTCATGGCAATCTTGCGGTTTTTGGCCCGTTTCCAACTCACGTTCAATTTCCGTCCACTTCGGATTGCAAGTGAACGTAATAAATAAATCCGTAGTTCCATAATGTCGCACGTACGTCATAGCGTCTTGAGCGTATTCGTGCATGTGGCGTGGACTGCCGGTATAAGATGATGGGAGAATCGTGAGACGTCCAATATTCTGAACATCACCATCTGAATGAATAGCATCTCGCAAGTGTATATAGTCCTCAGATCGTAGCTTTGCCTGATTGAATCGAATGAACGCTAAACGTTCGGTCTCGACTTTGACATACATGTCGACAGCGAATTGCTGGAATAGCCGACGGCACTTCAGAATGACATTCTCTTCATGTGAACGAATCATCATACGATATGCATAGTATTTCATAGCGCTTAGATTTTTATTCGTTGATAAGCCTGAAAATGCAAAATGAAATGAATTGTTAATGGAAACAAATAATAGCAATAATAAAAATAATTAGTGTGTTAATATTGCACCTGTAATTGGATCGACCATCTTCAACGTGATGTCGTAACCGTCTTGCCCTTGCCAATAAATGATTGGATATTGCAACGCGTCGTACAAACGATGTGTCTCGTTTACGCGATGCATGATATTGCTTCTTCGCTGAACGACAATGTCTCGCGATTTAGTTGGATCGCCAACAATAATTGCAGCAACATCATTAACGGTGGGTGCATTGAATCTTCGCACATGTTCACCTCTTGGGGTACAATCCGCTCTTATGATAAATTTGTGCGTATCTGATAGAGCTGTGAACCGGAACCGGGTCCATCGCGGTTCCGGTTCTGGAACCGGTTCTGGAACCGGTTCCCAGATTTTGGGAACCGGCGACGGTTCCATTTTTTTTGTATCATTGTATTATTTATTTTATAATTTTTTCAAAAGTTTTACGTTCTCAAAAATCTATTTTTCAAATTAAAAAATATTAATCTTTTTTTAATAAACATAATTTTAGGCACGGAAAGTTCCAGTAATTTGCCTTAGGGCACGATGTCATGCACTACTAGTTTACCTTTCACTTTCTCACAAACTGAGCTGTTCCGCCAAACGTAGAATCTTGAGAATTATCAGAAAAGTGCATAATTGTTCATTCAAAACCTTTTCTTATAAAAATCTAAATCAATTTTGAATATTAATATTCGAAAAATTTGGGGATGTACTGATTAGTTTTGGCAAAGATCAGCCGTGTATTTTCTTCGTAATTTTTTTCTACCAATAATAAAAATAAATTATAAATTAAGTACATTTCAGTTCAATATTCAGCTTTAAGATTTTATAAATTTATTATTAACTTCCCGTAGGGCAAGTTATAGTAATCGCAAATTTCAAAAATGAAAATTTTTATATATCTGTACGTTTCAAAACCTGCTGAACATTTTGGCATACCTTAGAAAAAGTGGATGTATGTGTGTGTGTGCGCGGATATAAATTTTCGTCTAGCCACGGGGCTAAAAGTGCCAAAAATGGTAACTCGGTTTCTAAGAGAACGGTGAGTCCGATTTTAATAATTCAAAAAACATTTTACTGAATGAAGAATTGATCAAATTTTCATGAAGGCAGGTCTAGCGGTTTCGGAGATCTAGAGAAAAAAGTAAAAAAAAATTCCATTTGGCGGTCAAAAATGATCATTAGACATATGTACGTCAAATTATCAGTAATTTTACAGAGATTTTAATAATAAATATAAGTTCTGTTTACATTCCTATGGGTTCCGTACCCATGTTTATCCGTTACACGGCGACGCGCTTTGACATTTCGTCTCTATGCAGTTAAAGCAGTACGATTGGTTTAAAAAAAAGTTCTGAATTTCCAAAATATGTCAAAATAAAGAAAACATTTTTTTTTTCAAAAAAAAATTTTTATCGAAAAAAAGTAATTTTTTGAAAAATTTATAGTTTTTCAAAAATATAATTTGTTTAAAGTAATTTTTTTTCAACAATGTTAATGTTTAAAAAAATAATTTTTGGTACGGGAAGTTCCAGCAATTTGCCTTAAGGCACGATGCCATGCGCTCCACTAGTTTTGGTTAATAAATCGTTACCGAAAAATTGTACAAAACAGTTTGTATTTGAGCAGAAAGAGAGATCGGAACTTCTGCGTAAGCTTGAAAGGGACAGAATAAGGGATGAACTGCCGCTGTTCATCGCATATTCTGTCCATTTAAAGCATTCGCAACAAAGATAAACAGACCACCGTGCGAAGAATTTTTTTGTTTATAGATAGGCAAAGGAGACGTGTATGCGTATAGGCGACAATATAAAAATTCAAAAAATTATCATCGACAATATTTTGTCAAACGCAATTTTTGTTTTACATATTTAATTATTTTCGATAATAACAATTTAAATATAACTGCAAAATTCAAAAAAATATTTGAAAATGATTTCTAAAATATTAAATTCTGCTTTAGGAAAACGTATAAAACAGTACGCGACTTATCAAACAGATGCGACGATTGAAAGAGTCTTTATATATTACGAGCAAATATTTGTATTATTTCATTACACTTATCCTGTCGATTGTTTAATTTTTAATAATTGTTTAAATAACAAATTTAAATTGATATTCGTTTCCCGAATTTTTATGAAATTTGCTTGATTTGCTTGATTGATCCACATGAAGAAACATTTGAATTCATTGATATACGGTCTCTGAAACAAATATTTATTATCTAAATTAGATAATATTATACAAATCAATTCGCTCACGTGAAATTTTTAAAATTCTATACTGTTTAAATAAAATAATAACATTTTATAATTGTTGAATATATTAGTATGGATTTTTTAAAAATATATAGCTTTTTACTTCTGAGAAATTAAACATTGTTATACGATTGTATGTATTAGCCTGAATCTTTTCATTGCGAGCCATCAGTCTTTAGCCCATAAATATTGATTTTAATGACTTCTCCAAATCATACTTTGACACTTGTTTTCAGAAAGACCTCCAACTATTTTATATAGACAACGCCCGACTACAAAAGCCGCATTTCGTTAATCCGTCTAAATTATTATTTCTGAACTGAATATTTATCTATTTCAACAACATTTTAAACGATATAGAAGGTAATAAAAACACTTCTACTTTTAAAATTGACACTTAAAAAAATCAGTTTATGTAACATATATTAGTTTATGTTTCAAGTAAATATTATTTTATATATTTGTTATTTATTTATGAAACACTATTTTAAAATATGCAATATTTCAAAGTTAATTAGCAAACTCGAAGGAATTTTTGAAATTTGTTGTTTTACGATTTATGAGTCGATGTACAATCGCCAGGCTCTAAAAGTACGCTTCTGCTTTGAAATCTTTAGATATATATGTATTAGTACATTTACTAATATTATGATCATAAGGTCCACTTGCTGTCTGACTGCAAGAGTCGAATTACATAATGGGAAGAGCTTAGGTATAAAAATAAGGTTAGCAAAGTATGAAAT